CTGCTGTGCCAGTTCGGGCTCATGCCCCTCGTGGCTTTCCTGATGGCGCTGGTCTTCGCCCTCGACGAGGTGGCAGCCGTCACCGTCCTGCTGTGCGGGTGCTGCCCCGGGGGGAACCTCTCCAACATCATGTCGCTCCTGGTCAACGGGGACATGAACCTCAGGTACCCGAAGGGGAAGGGAAGGGAGGGCCAAGCTGGAGGCCGGGTGGGGCAAGAAGAGCCAAACGGGCTAGTAACAATACTACTGCTAATACTACTATTACTACTAATAAATTTTTATTTATACCCCGCCCTCCCCAAGACCGGGCTCAGGGCGGCTAACAACCAATAATAAAACCAAGTTGATTAAAATACAATAATAATAATAATAATAACAATGCTGCTGCTGCTGCTGCTACTACTACTACAAATAAATACATACATACAGAAATCTTATTATTTATACCCCACCCATCTCTGGGGCAGCGAACGCCCCCCCTAGGGAAAAGGGTAACAGCGAGACTGAGGGCATTTCTCCTGCAGGAGGAAGTGGGGAGGAGAGAGATTGTGGGTGCTTCTGTCTGAAATCGGTTATTTTCGCTTTAACGCACTGTCTAAAGTTGCATTGTTTCCTGGCAGAGCTCCAACTCCATTCACATTGGGACGGCGAGCAGACATTCAACAGGTGTAGTGCCCTCCTCTCCCCCCCCCCACAATGAAAGCCAAATCCACCCGTAAAATATCTTATCCGTCACAGCACCTGCTCAAGGCACAGAGGTCCTGCGAGGAAAAGGAACTGAGAGATGAAATGTAAAACTCCCGAGCAAACATCAGACGAGTTGTTATGTATGCCCTGTTCCCAGAGGGTGGGGCAAAGAGGCAAGTGCCACTGAGCAAGTGCAGAGTGCCTGCACTGGAGTTATCTGCCTTTCCTAATGGAAGTTTCACCCGTCGCTGCATCTCCAGCCTGATAAAAGATGCACCTGTTGAATGTCTGCCTGTTACACACCCGTGAAAAGTGCAGGGGCTCTGCCAGGAATCACCCACAGACCTGTTTATTTGGGCTTGGGGAACAACTTTCCCTGCAGGCTTTAATCCCCACCAGCTGTTTCTATGAATTAAGAATTAATTGGGGGGGGGAGGCAAGACAGGGCTATGGGGTACAGCCAGACAATGTGGGCAGCCTTCTCCTTTTGCACAGTACATCTTTTTGTAAGCCGCTAAGCTCTTGCTTCTCTCTCTGCTTTCCGAGGACCTCTAGTTTCACTTGCAAGCCGGCACAAAGAGGAGAGAGAGCTGTGCGCTGTGAACCTTGATAGCTAGACACGCCCTGCAGGCAGCAGTGCTGGAAAACAGCGTTTGGGGTGTGCGTGGGGAGGAAGTTTTTAATGATGGGGAGGGAGGGGAGAAAAGTGTGGACTGTGGGGAAGAGAGATAATGTGTTTAAGTAAAGCCTGCACTGGATAGATGAGAGACAGCCGCATATCATGCCATGGCGAGAACAGTGCATTGGGAAGGGTGCCTTTCTCTTTCAAAACTACCAGCTTCTGCTTCTGCAACACACACACACAAAGTGTAAAAGGCAGAAATCACCCATATAAAATTAGCAGCCGAGCAGGAGGTTCCCACTGACAGTATGAGGTTGGAAAGACCAAAGGGAAGAGGCTTCCGCAATAAAATGTGCCATTGAGCAGCCTGTGGAAAGTGAATGGGGCGGTGGAAGGAACTTCAGTACATCATGTACCTTTCCCTCTGGGAACTCTGTTTTCTCTCGTCTCTGGCAGTATAATCATGACCACGTCATCTACGTTGCTTGCTCTGGTCTTGATGCCTCTTTGCCTGTGGATCTACAGCCGAGCCTGGATCAACACCCCGTTAGTGCGCCTGTTGCCCCTGGGCGCCGTCACCATGACCTTATGCAGCACTCTGCTCCCCATCGGCATTGGGGTCTTCATCCGATACAGGTTCACCAGGGTGGCAGACATCCTGCTGAAGGTAAGCCAGGCCCCAGATGCCCACCTTTACAGGGGACACAGGGAGGAGCCTTAATACAGGCACAGACTACAGTTCCATCTAGCTAGAACCAAGAGCAGTGGTGTAATTAGAGTGTCAAACTATAGGGCCACGGAGACCCGGGTTCAAATCCCCAATTAGCCCCAAAGCTCGCTTGGTGACTGCCTCTCAGCCTACTCTTTCTCACAAGGATGTTGGGATAAAAAAAAAATTAGGAGGAATATACCACTTTCAGCTCCTTGGAGCTAAAGTGGTATATATGAATGTAAGAATGCAATTTTAACAAAGAAATTAAAGTGTTGCTCCAGTGAGGCAGTGGGAGAGCATATATGTCCTGAAGGCACAGGACCCCTTTGCCATGTTTGCTTTCCAAGTGAAGAACCGCTCTAGCAGGGCTGCCGGTATCTGAGGTCTTGCAGAGTCGTCGTCAAAGCAGGCAACGCTAAGCTAGAGGGACCAACAGTGTAAACTGCAACCAATGATCCCCCGTCCAGTATTGCGAGGTGAAATCCTGCCTTGAGAGCATTTTTTTTTTGTTACAGAGGGAATTCACACACAGTATTCCTCCTACGACATTGCCATATGTATAGTAGTAAACAATATTTATAAATTTCAGCCGCTTGCAGTTTTCTTTCTGGGGGGGGGGGAAGTGTCTTGTGACATAAAATGTGTGTTGTTGTTTTTTGCCACTGTGGTTCTTCCTCCCCAGTATAAAAGGGGTGGTGTAAAATAAATGCCCCATAGGATTTTCCTATGGTTTTCTCAGGGGGCATTTTACCACCCCAAGATACACTGGAAATTGATTTGGAGTAGCAAAAGGTACCGCTTCAGTAAAAATAAATAAATAAATTGGTAGCAGATGAGGGCCACACTAGTAATTTGCAATTTATCATGAATATTTATTTATTTTTAATTATTTAAGAATCACATACAACCATTGCTCTCTAGACGATTTAACAACAGATCAAAATATAGAATAACATACATCATAACATACAGTAGAGTATTAAACGTGACTAGATAAAATTGGCATTCTAGAAATGTTTGCTTAAATAAAAATGTTCTTATGGCACATAGGAGTCACACAATGCCATCATCTGCCTCACCTTCACTGAATGTTCCATATTGCAGGGGTTACTGAGCTGGGTACAAATATATTTGATTATATACTGTCAGAAAGCTACCAGGCCTGAACCATGACTGAGATGTGCTCAGATGATCAGTTTTCTCCAGCAATTCCTGCAACTGATCCACCATGACCATCCATTTTTGTTTTAAAAATGCTTTTGCATTAATTACATAGATTGCTTGTGCACCTCTGCATAATTAGAATGGGGAGGTGGTGAGAGAACCCTTAATTATTCTATACTGGGGTAAGTTGTTTTTTTTTAGTATTTCTCGCCCCAAAGCATGTGGTATATGAGCTTGTTAAGAGTGCCCATTAATTCTCTAGCTATGTTGCAATCTTGCTGCCTTATATTGTTATGGCATTTCACTGAACTCTACTGTATATTTTGTTTTAGTGTATCATTCATTGCTTCGGGGGGGCCTTGGGCAAAAAACAAAACAAAAATCAGTATATAAATAAATTGGAATAAATAATAAATTGAAACAGAACAAGCAGTTCTACCGTTAATCTTGCTAGTTCTGTCTGTGATTACCAATATACACCATTTATTTATATAACAGCACCAATACACATTCTTATGCTTTGGCAAATGAAGCAGTCTTTTGTTTTAACAGATTCCGTGCTTTCCTTGATGCTTGAAATATATTTTAAATAACCTGTATGCTTACTGATATAGTAATATGTAATTAAGAGCAGCGGTCCTCCAAAATCCTACTCTATCTAATCAAATGCTTTCTTTGCTAGGTTTCATTGTGGTCCCTTCTGGTCTCCCTGGTGATCCTTTTCATTCTAACTGGTACCATGTTGGGACCTGATCTGCTGGCTACTATCCCTGCTACTGTCTATGTAGTAGCTGTGCTGATGCCCTTGGCTGGTTATGGCTGTGGTTATGGCATAGCAACCTTATTTCACTTGCCACCTCACTGCAAGAGGACAGTGTCACTGGAGACCGGCTGCCAAAACGTACAGCTCTGCACCGCTATACTCAAACTGACCTTCCCTCCAGAGCTTATTGGGAGCATGTACATGTTCCCCTTGCTCTACGCTCTCTTCCAGGCTGCTGAAGCTGGTCTGTTTGTATTGGCCTATAAGGTGTACGGCAAGGATTCCTACAAACAAGAGCCTCTAGTAGGGGAAGAAGAAGAAGATACGAACATTTCCTACAAAAAACTGAAGGAAGAGGAAATGCCAGATAATTCCTATGGCACTGTGACTGCCGAGGGCCATGCCTCAGTGCTCATGGAACCGATGCAGACTGCCCTCTAGAGGAAGGGAGGACCTGAACTGGAAATCCTGTTGTGGGATAATGTAGCAAACTGTTCAGTCAAAGCGGGAGGCAGGGAGATGATGGCACAAAGCAGTTGCTGTAATCTTGATTCCCTCAGCATATATGGTTTGTAAAAATGCCAATATTTTTGTCCACAAATAGCAAGTCACCTGTGACCACCTCCTCAGCTACCACAAAGAATCAATATGAGCCATCACAATAAAGTATACTGAAATGCAAGCAAGCAGGAAGGCTGCATGCTGAAGAGAGGGGTTTTATAAGGTAATTTTAAAGACTAGTATGAGAGGGAGGGAAGAGAAGAACAGGGGGATTAATGCTGATAGTATTTGTTCTTGTGTAACTGAATGTCACCAACAATTGCTGTTTAAAAGCTTTGTGTCTGTTTTACATTATTCAGCTTCTGTGTATGTGGAAAGGTTGAACTCATGTTGTATATTTACCACTGATTAAATTTCTTCTGAAGATACCAAGCCATTAAGAGGACTTATGAGACACTGTCTGCTTCATCTAGTTGATATCAAAGCTGTCACTCTTTTCACAGACAGAAGAGGAACAAGATCTCCCTCCCACTAAGCGGTAGTCAAGAGAAACTCTCTTCCGAATGAGTGGGGGCCTTTTTAAAAACCGAATGCTCCTTGGCATTATTAACTCTTCAGGGTAGATACCTGGGAGCAAAAATCTGCAATCTGTTTTAACAAAGGAGCTGGACCCGTGATGCAGATCTATTTGTAACCATTCTCTAAGATGCCAAGTAAGGGTATTTTTTAGCCCTTTAACCAGAGAAGCCAGGAACTGAATTCTGTTCTGTTTGCATGCAAAGCATACATCACTATGTGGTCTCCTATTTCTGTAGGTCATGTGGACTTGCTTGGGAATCAAAGCTAGGATTTCATTGGTTCACCAAGGTTGTAATCCCAAACATTTACCAGAAAGTAAATTCTACTGAATTTAGTGGGATTTACTCAATTAACTATGTTTAGTATTAGACTAAATGGGAACGTATTATGTATATATTGTAAAATACTACTAAAGTCTGAAACGCCATATCATTAAAGTTTGTGGGACCACTTCAGAGGTAACCAAGGAAAAATAAATCGCATGTGGGATGTGGCCTAGCAGTGAGATTAAGAAATAATATACTTGGTACACATATAGCACAATCCAGTACATGCCCATTCAGAAATAAACCCATTGAGTTTTAGTCAGTTTACTCCCAGATAAGTGAGTGCAGGATTGCAGTCCTGAAATGGTTTGAACGGCACTGATTTCAAAGTGACTTTTCCCCATTTATAGGCGGACCTTTAGTACATTTACTGAGAAGTAAATTCTGCTGAGTTCAGTGATTCTTACTTCCCTGTAAATGGGCCTAGGATTACAGCCTTTACTCTCCCCTTTCAATGCATATTTGTAGACCATATGGGAATTTTAACGCAGGGCGCTTAACCATTTCTGCTACTTACTATTATTATTTGTATATGACATCAGAAAACCGGTTAACAGCCGAGTCCTCTGCATGCTTACTCGGGAGAAAACCCTACAGCGTTCAGCGGTGTTCATTCCGCAGTGAGGCTGCAATCCTGCCGACACTCATGGGAAGAACGCGCCGCTAAATCGAGGGGCATTTTGTTGCAGAGTAAACCACCTGCTGCTGCTGCAACAACACAGCGGGCCGCGCGCGTGCATGCATGCATGCTTCCTCCAAGGAAAGCACCCGACGTTAATTGGCGCTTGTTGCGAAGTAAGCGCTCCTAGGCTTGCAAAGCTCGCTCCACGAGACCCGCACAGCTGTGGCGAGTGACTCTCGTTTGGGTCTCCCGGGAGAGGAGGCGGCCCGCCCAGCGGGCTATTTAAGCCTCGTCCGTGATGAGCGCAGCCCGGGGCAATGGCCGCTTTGGTGGACGACGCCATGGAGAGCTACTCGTCGTACCCTTCCTACAACCCTTACTCCTACCGCTACCCGAGAGGCAAAGGCGGGCAGGGTCCTTGGAGGCAGCGGGGCGGCTACTTCTCCGGTTATGGCGAGACGGCGGCGGTGGCGGCCGCGGCGGCCGAGTACTTCGACAACTACCAGCGGGCGCAGCTGAAAGCCATCCTGTCCCAGGTGAACCCCAACCTGACTCCCCGCCTGCGCAAGGCCAACACCAAGGAGGTGGGCGTGCAAGTCAACCCGCGCCAGGACGCCTCGGTGCAGTGCTCGCTCGGGCCGCGGCCGCTCTTCTTGCGCCGCCGCGCCGTCGAGCAGGAGCAAGGCAGCCCCGTCAGCGGCGGCTGCCGCTCCGTGCGCTTCCCCAGGACCATCGCCGTCTACTCGCCCGTGGCTCCGCGGCGCCTCACCACCTTCCTGGAGGAAGCCGAGCCGCCCGACGGCCCCGCCGCGGCCTCGACGACGCCGAAAGCCGACGAGGCGCGCGCCGGCGGGGAGAAGGCTGAGGGCCCCGCCGACCTGCAAGAGGAGCAGCGGCCGCCGCGCCCCAAGGCCGAGAGCAAGGAGGGCTCGGGCCCAGCACCCGAGGGCGGCCTGGAACAGCCGGAGAAGCCTCGGGAGGACGGCGAGGGGGCGCCGCCCCAGCCAGAGGAGAAGCGGGGAGACGAGGCCGCGGAGAAGCCCTCGGAGGGGCCTCGAGAGGAAAGCAAGGCCCGCGTGCGCTTCCAGGTGGGTCCCTCGGCGGCTGCCCTCGCCTCAGCTTCCCGCCTGTTTCTTACTTGTTCAGGAGACTCGCTCTTCCTTATTTCCCTTGTGCGCCAGCGGAGGGTTGGGTTTTCTTTTTAATAATAATAATACTAAGGATGCTAATGTTTAAGTTAAATTTTATAAGAACTGTGATTTGGAAAAACCGTTAAAAGGACATGCAATGAAATTCAACCAAGGGGAAGCGAGGAAGTCAATTAACAAAGTTAAAAAGTGTAATTTAATAAGCCTTTTAATAAGGCTATGAGTTATGTTTGTTTTATGTGTTTGCTTATAATATTGAGAAAACAAATATATTTTTTAATAATAATAATAATAATATAAAATAAAATATATTTTTTTATTAATTATACCTGCCCACCTGGTTGGGTTTCCCCAGCCATTCTGGGCGGCTCCCAGCAGAATACTAGAAACACCATAAAACATCAAATATAAAAACTTCCCTAAACAGGGTTGGTTTTATTTTATTTTATTTTTGCTGCGCTTCAGTGAAATTCTCAGGGTGGCAGTCAAAGTAAAAACACGTTTATTTATTCCTTGAATTTTTATACCGCCCTATAACCGCAGGCCTATGTGCAGAACAATAAAACAAAGCAGGAAGGCATAAAAATGGACAAAGGAAGGCATAAAAAAGGACAAAAATTCAGCTGAGTGGATGAAACTTAACCAGCCCCTTCTGCCCTATGGTGTCTGGGGCTCCTGTGGGAGTCCTTATTTGTGGGGTGGTAGTTAGTCTGCTTAGGCCAGGCTTGGCCAAATTGTGTAGCGGGAACAAGCCTTACTTTCCTGAATGAAGAATAGAGCCATCCTTCCGCTCTTGTAAGTGAAAACTTGAGTTTTAGAGAGCCTGAGGGCCAACAACAGGCAGTGCATTTTTGTACATAACTCTTGGACATGTTTGCTTAAAACCAGAAGCAGCCTCTGGGGGGCTTTAAAGTCTGGGCAAAAGTTTACACTGTAGGAGCCAACGCCAAAGGGCCTTTCTCTCTCCCCCGCCCAATAAAATAAAATATTTGAGGGTGTCAGCCCCCACCCCCAAGGTTGATGGGCATTGCCTTTCAAATGGTGTCATGTGATTGATTATATGGGTTGGGGTTTATCTGCCTCCCCAATATTTTATTCAAGTTGCCCCCCTCCCCCGTGTGGCAGGATGAAATTAACCATTTCCCTCTCCCAAGCTTGGACTTGTTGTGGGGGGTGGGGAGTTACCTGCAGGTGCTTTCAGGTTAAAAAAAACACACAAGGCTGTATGCTATACATCAATTTTACTCTTGTAAGACTTGTACAAGTTGGGCACCTGCACTGTCCGTTTTGGCATGAGGCCGATTGTGATGTGCTTCATTGGGCAAAGGCAAGCTGTCCTAGGCTCTTCATGCAGGCCTAACGAGAATCCTTGGATAATTAAAGTATCTGATTCAGAAGAGCAGAGGAATTACCTGCCTATGGCAAAGGGAGCAAAGTTGAATATAGGCGTAGAGTAGACCCTGTGGTGTTGGTTTCATAGGAGCTTTTTGTACTTTGTGGGTTGTTGGCTTGGGCCAGTGGTGGGGAACCTGTGACTCTCCAGATGTTGCTGAGCACAGGTAATGCTGGCTGCAACTGGTGGGAGTTGGAGATCAAAACATCTGGAGGGCCACATGGTACCCACCCCTGACTTTTCAGTTGCTCATGTGCAAGGAGGAGCACAGAAATGCAGTTAATTGAAAGAATCCCTTCAGAGTTCTTCGTGGCTGGGCTCTGAGCCTCATGCATTATTGTGTATGGAGAAACTAGACTAGCCGGGAGACATAGGATTGTGGGGAGACCCAAAAGTTCCATTTAGTACACTCTCCCTGCTTCTGCATACCAAGCTGCATCCCCACTACTCCTCTAGTGTGGATTGGCCCACCACATCCTGAGAACATGTGGATGGAATGGAGAGCAGAAATGACTGGTTTGTTTTCCCCTTTGCAGAAACTTGTTTCAAGCTGTGACACCCTGTCTTCCTGTGGTGAGCAATCAAAGTGGCTGGCAGTAGTTTATCAAGACAATACCAAAAAGCCTAAAATGCAGCCTGTGCAATCAAAATGGCAGAAGACATGTGTACCAAAAAGCAGTGTCCAAGAAGCTCACTGAACGCAAGTCTTTGCTTGCGTTCCAGTGGGTGGAAATGGAGCCAAACATCTCTGGGAAGGCTATGCCAGTTTCTGGGCACTGTAGGAATAAAAATGGGGTTGGGAGGGCCTGCCTGCTTGCTATTTCTCAGGGTGGGGAGATTGGAGCAGGCCTGGGGCAGGTTTATGTGAAAGAAGCTGGTCTTTAAGATGCTTTATAAATAAATGAAACAACAAATAAATTGGTTACCAACTTAAATTTGTATAAAATTGGAGTAATGTGACTTGATCTACTGCCTCTAGTCAGAATCCTGGTAGCTGTAGTTTAACAACCTGGAGATGATTTCAGAAGCTCCAGGCAGGCCCATTAGAAGTGTATTACAGTAATTAACCTAGAGGTGATTAGGGTATGGAAGACGCAGACCAAGTTTGGCTGAGTTAATGAATAGGAAGCTCAGTTCATAGAACTACCTACATTGCTATGGGGCACTGAAACTCTCCACCTCTTAGTGAAATAATAGTGTTGCTTTATTCAAGAGTGTGAAGAAAATATTGCAGGGAGAAGATTGGCCAGTTCTTACCCTCAATATAGAAGGTATCGAAGAGAGACGAAACTCTCTGGACTTAGATTGAAAGTGTTGCTTAAGTTGAAGGTTAGTTGGTTACTGTTCTTCAAGGCAGTGTTAGAAACTCATAAGCTAGGTGCCAGATGGCTCCTTAAACCAGGGTTAGTCACCAAACCGAAATGTCTAGTTGCCAATTTGGGGCCAGAAACCTGAAAAATTGTATTTTTCAATACAACTTTTTGGTTCCTGAAATTCATTCCAATTGTGCAGATAAAATACAATGCAGTGGATAGAATTCTAGAGGATGGGTTATGAAAAGTCATGGTCCAGTGATCCCCAGGCATGCACCTATGGATGGTGGAGACGTGATATGCCCTCCTGGCACCTGGCACTTGGTCACAAGTGGCCGATAGCTGGGTGCAAAATGCGCCAGGTGAATTTTGAACATTGCCTCAAGCAATTAGAATAAGATCCATTATTTGATTATTGATGTAAACCTCCAGAATGTATTTTGTATAGTTAAGCTTATACCTCTGTCTTCAACACATTGTGTTTTGTTTTATTGCTGTGGCTAGTGGTTGGTGCAAATAAAGATTATTCTGATTCTTCAAGCTTGTGAGGGGAAGCTGCTGCCAGTTGCTCTTAAGGCGCACAAGGTCAGGGCTTGCAACAGGCTGCTCAGCTTGAGATGTCAGTTCCCTTACTGTTTGGTTTATGCTCTCTAGTTCCTAGAGCAGAAGTATGGCTATTACCACTGCAAGGACTGCAACATCCGCTGGGAGAGTGCCTATGTATGGTGTGTGCAGGGCACAAACAAGGTGAGTATTGTCACTAGAGCAGTGGAGGGTGGTGGTCTTGTCCTTTGGTAAGGACTTGCCTTCATGCTTTTCTCCTTCTCCCCACCCACCCTCAGGTTTATTTTAGGCAGTTCTGCCGAACCTGCCAGAAATCCTACAATCCCTACCGTGTGGAGGATATCACCTGCCAAGTAAGCAACTCTTAGGAGGCCAATGAAGGCAAAATACTTTCCAAACATATTGTTTTCAGGCATTAGATATCTCTCTGTCTCTTCTACTGCTTGTATTTGGATAGCCATACTGCAGTATAGAATACTTGTGCCCCTGTGGAAAACAGGTGTGCTTATATAGAATCAAGGTGCAGCATCTAGCTCAGTTGGCCCTTGCCTATCCCCTATCAGATTTTGAGATGTGCACTTAGTCATGAAGAGCATGAAAACCCTCTAAACTCACTAGAACAACATTTATAGTTTAACGTGTACATTCTGCACAGCACATGCACATTCTATACTTGAGTATGTAGATTTAATTGGTTCTCTTTCCTGTGCAAGATCAGTTCTCACTAGTGGTGATACCTGAATTTAATGATAATTTAATTACCTTTTAACTTTGATTGCACCAGGATGGCTAATAGGAAGGATAAGTAAATTGGAAGGATGGGGGTAATTAATTGTTCATTGACAATGCTCTTAATCTGTTGTACAGTGTTGGTGATCTTATAGCGGTTTTGAGTGAACTCAAATCAGTTTCTTGGTTGGGAGGTCATGTGAAACACTGTCTTAAGAAACCAGGATATTTTAATTGAAGCTGGGTGGGTGATTGAGATGGAGGTGCTTGTTCCAGAACTACTATTAAACCATGGTATATTTGGCTGATGATTTAAAGTCCAAACTAGGCCATGGCGTTTATCTTTAGTTAATGCGGCCCCATGATTGGTTCATCTTTGGATACTTTGTGGAGTAGTTTAGGTTTAATGGAGGCATGTTCTACATGTGGTGGTAGAATGAACTGTTGCTTCAGACAAATGAAGGACTTTGGAATGCTCCCTGTGTAATTGTTACAAATATAGTCCAGCCCTTTGCTTGCTCTCAGTTTGCTTGCAACTGGAAATGAAGTTTTAATTATTATTATTTTTATATGGGAAATTTAAATATCTGATCCCCAGCTGTGCATTCTGCTACATATGTAGGGTTTAAGTTCAAGATGCATCATTTCCCCAATGGGCAGTCTTAAGAGCCTACTGGATCAGGCCCACCTAGTCTAGCATCATGTTCTTCCAGAGGCCAACCCAGCTGCCTTGTGCAAAGCCTGAAAGCAGGACCTGAGCACAACAGCAGCACTCTTGCCAATTGTAGCTCCTGACAGCAACTGATATCCAGAGATAGACTGCCTCCGACAGTGGAGGTAGAGGTAAGACATATAACCATGGTGGTTACTATCAGCTGACAGCCTTACCTCCATGATTTTGTCTCATCTTCTTTTAGAGCAATCCAGGTTGATGGCATTCGCCACTTCTTATGGGAGCCTTATACAGTACTTGGAACTGATCTTCATTGTTTTGCCTAGAGAGAAATTGTGCTTCTGTAGTCGGGGTGTGTGTGATGGAGATGCAACAATAATAGTAGCGTTAACAGTTTGCTTTAGTAGTTGTTGTTGCATCCTATTATGCATGAGTCTTCCAGTCACTGAAGAGGCCTCCAAACAGAAAGCGGTGCTTAGGCTGGAGTTTAAAAAAGGCATGGAACCTGTGACCCTTATACCTATGCAGGCTCCTAAAGCATATTTTATCTGCGGAACTTGTACATGGATGCTTGTAGTAGTTTCAGATACTGTGCCTCTTTCTGTCCCATTTCAGAGTTGCAAGCAGACACGGTGCGTCTGTCCTGTGAAATTGCGCCATGTAGATCCCAAGAGACCCCACCGTCAGGATCTCTGTGGAAGGTGCAAAGGCAAACGTCTCTCTTGTGATAGTACATTTAGTTTTAAATATATTATTTGAGCAGGATAGTAGCGAAAGAATCCTTAATACAAATTTGCGATGACGCAGATATTTTGTTTGGAAACAGCAGGCTGCAGCAGTGGGAAGCCTGCCAATGAAGCTGTAGTAAAGCAATTGTGAATCCTAATGCAACCTAATGTCCACTTCATTTTTTGTAATTGTATTAAGGGGGAGGGACTCTGCCTGGCATACTGTGACTCAGCTAGATTTTTTTGGAGAGAAGACTTGAAAAGCAAGTTCAGCAAAAAGAGGGTGGTGTTGCTGGTGATGGGAGAGCCTTATTTAAACCTTCCTACCCATCTGTGTGGAGGAATGTGTACCAGGCTTTTCCTTGTTACCCTCTTGCTATGAAATGCTTCTATGTAGAACCTAATGCACACTTAAGTGGCCCCAAACTGGGAAATGTAATTGTATGTATGAGTTTCACGTTGACAATTGCTCTGTACAGGGCAGGTAAAGTTATGGGAAATAGTTAAAATTTCTGGATAATCAAATATATAACTGATATGAAAAGGGGTGGAATAGCAGTGAATTGTTTAATGCTAGAAGTAGGAGGCAGTGACGTATAGTCCTTTAGATTTCTTCAACTGAGATGTACTTGAATGGTGCTGGGTAAAAACTAGACAATTGTTCTGGATCTAAGTTGTATGCATAACTGAATATTGATAGGTACAGTGGGTACACTATTTGGTACAATGAGAGAACTATTTCCAACCAATGCCAGTTTAAGTTTGTAGGTGAGTGGCAGGATATGTCTAATGGCTGGCCATCATCCAAAATTGAGAGATTAAGATTCTGTGTCTTGAGCCAAGACAGTGAATGGCATGCTTCTAAACGTTACCTACAACTTTCATGATGAGGCGCTATCTGAGTGAATGTATAAATAAAGGGATTGTGATGCTTCATCATGGCTTGTAACTATTTCATTTCTCTCTGTGGGTGTTTTCATTCAAAGCGAGTGACTTTTTCCTTTGACCCTTGCGTTTAAACCCCCGCCCCCCAAAATGGAACTTTGACCTGAAACCCCCCCCAAAAAAACGGGGGTAGATCATTGGCAGATTTTAATTCTGAAAGTAGATAGCAGTCTCTCGGGAGTTGGCCACCCCTGCATTACATGAATGGACCCGCAGTGATCCCTGGGCTTCCATGCCACCACTCCTGTTAGGAAGTGAAGCTTAAAGCTTCAATTTGCCATTGTTTCCTATTACATCTGAAAACAGAAGTCTGTTGGTGGTTGCAAATGTAAGCTTTAAACTTTCTCTTCTAGTACTTGGACAGCATATGAGCCTAAGGCTCACTGTTGCACATTCTCAAATGGAAACCATGCTTTGCTGCTATAACTGTTACATACTATACTATGTCAGTATAGTTGATATAGTGTAACTATTATTTATGGAAGGCTAGGGAATTACTGTTTGGTTAAAGCGGTTTTAAGATTATCAGAGGCAGCTGAAACTGTCACTGGCCACACTACTAGAACTATATGATCCATGCTGCAGTCATTTTAAATACTAATATGTAGTGTCGTTTATACTTCCAAATTGCTGTGTATTGCTAAATACCTGCTTTCTAGTATCAACTTTAAGTGCTAAGGTTCTGAAGTTTCAAATGGCTTGCTTGATACACTTTACCCAGGGCTTGCTTCTGGATAGAAGCTAGTATGATTGCAGGAAAATAGGTTGTAGTGTTAACTGGGCACACTCCACCTCCTCTTTAATACCTCCCATCAAGCAAAACTGCCCCATCAAATGATTACTTGTGTATTCAATGTGTGCATCTTACAGATTTTGTTGTACAGCAGTTTGTACAGCATGTTTTTCAGTGATACAATATATTTCCCAACTTTTTAAAAAGTCCAGCAGTGCCACACAGGAATACGTGTTGCAATTTTCTCCTGCAAATATTTCCTTCCTGGTCAGCAACGGGAGTGGGGATGTGGGATATTGAATTCACTAAGGGATGGGAGATTTCTCAATAGTCAAGGCCTTGTCCTGCTGCTAATGATCCCTTCAGCCACTCAAGCGCCTTTCCCTATTCTGTGTAGTAGCATCTCCTTAGGCCCAATCCAATGAAAAGCATCTCTGAAGTCCCAGTGATTTCAGTGGGAAAAACTTATAAATGAAAATAATGTTTATTGTTATCTCACTGATTGTTCCAAGTACAGTGGTACCCCGCAAGACGAACGCCTCGCAAGACAGAAAACCCGCTAGACGAAAGGGTTTTCCGTTTTGGAGGCGCTTCGCAAAACGAATTTCCCTATGGGCTTGCTTCGCAAGACGAAAGCCCATAGGGAAATCTCCGGGGACCTCTTTTAAATGCTAGCGGTGGGGAGCAAAGCCTTTCCCCCCCCCTCCGGCCTTCAGAAGAGGTCCAGGAAGGCTGGTGGGGGCCGAAAGGCTTTGCTCCCCACCGCCAGCATTTTAAAAGCAGTCCGGGATAGCAGGGAAGCGCTTCCCGCTATCCCGGACGGCTTTTGAAGGCAGGAGAGGTCCGCGAAGCCTGGGCGCGCTGATCTCAGCGCACGCAGGCTTCGGCATGCCGGCAACTCACCGCAAGCAGCGGCAGCGCTGCCGCTGCTTGCGGAGAGGTCCGCAAAGCCTGGGCGCGCTGATCTCAGCGCGCGCAGGCTTCGGCATGCCGGCAACTCACCGCAAGCAGCGGCAGCGCTGCGCTGCTTGCAGAGAGGTCTGCAAAAGCCTTGGCTGGACCGCTTTTGAAGGCAGGCGGGGGGAGCAAAGACTTTCGCCCCCGCCAGCCTTCAGAAGAGGTCCTGGACTCTTCTGAAGGAGGGCGGGGGGCAAATGTCTTTGTTCCCCCTCGCCTGCCTTCCGGGGAGACGGAGTACACACGCAGCGCGCTTTCTCCGCTCTCCCGGGAGTGCTTTAAAGGCAGGGCAGGGGGGACAAAGACTTTCGACCCCCGCGCAGCCTTCAGAAGAGGTCCAGGCATCTCTCTGAATGGCTGGCGGGGGGCAAAAATGTCTTTGTTCCCCTGCCTGCTGCTCTTCCCAGGGGCTTTAAAAATCGCCCCCGGACCAGCGGAGAATCTCCGCTGTCCCGGGGCCGATTTAAAATGCCGCCCGCGCACGCATTTTCAAGATCGCCCCGGACAGCGGAGAAGCCCTCCGTGTCCCGGGGTTTTTTTAAAATGCTGGGAAGAGAAAGCCCTTGCCCCACCAGCCTTCAGAAGAGGTCGGGGGACAGACTGTCCCCGGACCTGGTCTGAAGTCGGTTTCCCTAGGAACGCATTAATTGATTTTTCAATGCATTCCTATGGGAAACCGTGCCTCGCAAGACGAAAAACTCGCAAGAAGAAAAAACTTGCGGAACGAATTAATTTCGTCTTGCGAGGCACCACTGTACTTGCATGCAGATCCACCTTATACATCTTACTCACCTTGCCTGTGTTTGAACGAGCACTCCAGGCTCCCAAGGTTATGGAGATCCTTTAACTGGAGGTACGAGATTGAATTTGGACTGCAATGCATTTATCTAATATATTCTACCACTGAGCTATGGATCTCTCCCCCCCCGCTCAATTGGCACAAAAATGAGTTTGGCTCAATTCTGAACTATCAATAACATATACAAATAAATAACTCGGGAGAACCATCACATCATGCAGAGTTTTGGAGCAGCTCCCTCTCTACAGCTCTTTTATTTATTATCTACACTTACACCTGGCAAGTCATGCAGTGCAATTACAGCGCTGCATACATCATGTATGTTTGGTTAGAGGATGTGTATTGTATCTTTGTCTCTTATTATAGCTAGTCTATTTATAAGCCTGCTAAGGTTGTCAAACCGTATGCAGGACTTCTTAGGAATATCACTTTTATGCTTTATTCTATTTAAATGTTTGCATACATACTCCACAATCCTTTTCAGAAAATACACAAGGTAGCAGATATGAGATTTTATTTTACCAACCCTCCCCAAAGCAAAAAGAAACACAAAAAGGCCAATAGAAGATGTAAAAAGTATAATACACCACTAAAAACTACACATCCCCCTTTTAAAAGTGTATTAAATAATTAGGAACATAATCTACAGTACCACAGAGCCTTCAAAATAATTAAATTATATCAGGGTAAAAAATAATACAGTGATTATGAATGTGTGGATTTTGAAAAGTAACAGAACTTGTGTCAGCAGTCCAATGGTATGCACAGTGCCTTAATTTAATGTATTTCAACATAATTACATGTCTACTCCATTTCCCCAGTGGAAAAAAGGCCATGCTAAGAGATTTCATGTCTACATTCTACACCCTGACATTTCAGAGCCCAATTTTTTTGCTTTAACATCACAGTGGGTAGGAGAGATGCATAAAATACAGGGCATTTGTTCCTTCAGGAATCATGAGACATTCATACCTTTTTGCTTCTAAAAAAGTTTTGGTTCCAATAGAATCCTGTTTATTTTGTGCTACAAGATTTTGACAAGGAATTCTAAAGTATATTGTAGGTTTTGGTAGTCAGTGGTCTCTCCCTTCTACAGTCCCAAATTCCTAAGCGTTATCATGAAAATACAAGCAAGTTTACACCTTTTCTTGAACTCTAGAATACACAGATGTAGATCATGTATTCCTTTAACAGCCACTATTCTCTCCCCCCCCCAGCTTTATACACTATTCTCATGTAACAGTGCATTGCACAATTGTACAAGAAAAATACTGGATTTTACACTATACAATTTCTAGAGTATGTACAGAATAAAATAAGTTAACTTTTCTAATGAGTTGCTGAGGAGCAACATATATCTTTTAATATACAGTTTAAAGTCTCTGCAGGCAGCTACTTTTTGGTTAGTCGTTATCAATATTTGTAATAAGCGCTGATCAGAGAACTGAGCAGCATTCCAAATGAGTTAGATATATTATTTCTTTTTGAAAACTGGATAATTCCAGTTTAAAATATTATTAAATGCCATAACATTTACAGACTAAGGAGTTAAATCTAATAAAATATTTTCTTTTCTTCCAAAAATAATCTTGCAGTGCTTTTTTAGGCATGCTCAGACCATATCAAACATCCATACCTTCAAAATGCAATTGTCAGATATCCATTCATTCCTACTTTCACACATAATTCACCATTATAGACGAAGGTAGAGTAAATACAACATTGATAAATCAATGGAGTCTGCAGTCTTTCCAGCTCCAGTATGACAGCACATTCCTCATGACATTGCCAAGTGTATTAATTTGGCATCACCTGATGATTTATTTGCTGCTTGAAAGCGAAGAAGCCTCGCAGGTCTTCAGCCAAAATAACCAGCCTTGATTTTTAGCCTCATTTACCTGCTTTTAATTGTCTCACTATCAAGAGGCCATTATTGCAACAAGTCTTACATTTCTGTTTTTGAAGACAATAATGCATTTGTAGGCATTGTTTTTAGCCCTTTTCTTCTAATGCAGTTTTGTATATAGTTATTTTCAAAAAGTGTCCATACTGCCCATACACAGCTACTGTTTAAGAAAAAGTTAAGGTGATGGCTATGAGGTTTCCAAAACCTTCATTTCTGAATAACATAGCTTGCTCCCAGTACTTCACTGGTCATCACAGGTATGGTTTCTGTCACAAACAGCAAGTTTCAACAGATATGAAAAGGTGCTTGATAATATTGAGACCATTTCAGTTCTTCTCTGTGGGACAGTAGTTTTTAAAATCCAGTGCTCAAACTTCCCACTGCTGTGTGTTTTGCCAGAAGCTGATAAGACTGCACCATGCGCAGTGACTCCCGGATCTCTAAATTTAGTTCCATTAGTTTTGAGCTGGCTTCTGACATATCTTGTTTTGAGCCAACTACTGCAAAACTGCCAGTCTGGCCCAGGGTCTGATGACGGAAATATATCTGCAACAATGTTTGTACTGGGTCATCTTCAGAACTGCCAAATATGTCAT